CCGTAAAAAAGAGTATATATTTTTTTGGCATTTGCTTCGAAAATCATAACTTTTCATAAAGAGGTTATCAGCGCAAACTTGGCACAGTCAGAAAGAGCAGGCTATAAATTCTATAATGCTCCGATTTCCGTTGCGAGTTTCAATTTTGCGACTAAACGCAGAAATTTTGAGAATGGAGTAATTTCCTTCTCCTGCTTCTATCTCTGGAGCTTGCTTCCGTTAAAAGGTACTTCAGGTAGGTACTGTTGGAAACGTGAATTTGAAAATAATTATGTGCAGATCCGTTGAAGGTAGGAAGTATCTGGGAGAGAGAAAAGCATTTAAAACAACAAAAACAGAGGAGCAGAGAAGGATAAATATATTAAAGCAGTGGCGGTGCAAGAAACTTTCTCAGGGGGAGGGGGACAAAAAATTATTTGGGTTTGTGGGCGTGAGCCACCGAACAAAGGGCAATTTAGGAATGGTTGAATTTTCGTGGTTCCAGTTTTTGTATACCCTCGATTTTTTTATAGCAAAAATGGGCGTGGAGTGAGCCACACCTTCGAAAATTGCCTAAACAGACTACTTTAGAGTTTAGAAGAGCTGATCTTTCATTACTACAGTCGCAGACTACTATGAATATTCCTAAGACCCATTATACTCCGCCCCTTTCTTTTGATATATTTCTACCCACATTATTTCTATTTTATTCAATCATTCAACACTATTATTTAGGAATTTTGATTTCGAATTTCTCGAGCTATGATTTCAAATCGTAAGTTTTGAACTTTTTATCTTGAATCAAAAATCATTATTTTGTGATGTGTGCGGTGTTGTGAGAGGAAAAAGATTTGAAAATCAAAACAGAGAGTAGAAAAGGATAGACACACGAAAAGCAGTGGGGGCGCGAGAAATTTATTTGAGGGAGGGGAGGGAGGGATTGAAACTTTTGGGTTTGTGGGCGTGTGGCCACTATCAGCAAAAAAAATTTCAGGAATGGTTGAACATTTGCGGTTACAATTTTTGTACCACCTCAATTCTTTTTAGCATAGTTCCTTCGAAAATTGTCCATAACTATTAGGTGGTTAAGTACGTTCGCCACTCAAAAGTACGTTCTCCACTTTTTCAAAAAATCATAATTTTCTTTCGACTCGATGGATCTCTTTGATTTTTTATTCATCCAAGAGAGGAAATCATTCTCTTTACAGCGATATCTCTGCCATAAATTGGCTTAAGAAATTGCGCGAGTTAGAAGCAATTGAAGATTACTCAACTTGGCATTTTTCAAGCAGGCTCACTAAAAAATTCTGAAATTTTTCGATAGAAAATTTTTTTTGATAGAACAAATTATGTTCTTTACTATAGTGCCTTTTCCAAAAACAGAAAAGATTGAAATTAGAAGCAATTAAAGAGAACAAATACTTCAGTTTTGCAATTTTTGAGCATGCTCAAAAATGCCCAAAAACGTCACAGAAAAGACGGGTTATTCATGAGCAAAGGTTTTGTGACCTTCTTCTAGCTGACAGAAATTCGTGCCAATCGAAAGCAATTTTGATTTTCGTAGAAAATCAGATCCGAAAACTCGGTAATATTACGAAAATCAAAATTACTCTCGATTGGCACGAATTTCTCTCAACTAAAAAGAGAAGGTCACTAAACCCATGTTCACATGACTTTCCCGTCCCTTCCGACGCAGAACTGAATTAATTCTCTTTATTTGCTTCTAATTCCAATCTTTTTTGTTTTTGAAAAATGCACTCTAGTAAAGAGCATAGCTTTCTCTATCGAAAACTACTTTCAGAATTTTTTGGTGACCCTGCTTGAAAAATGCCAATTTTAAGTAGTTTTCTTCAGTTGCTTCTAACTTTCAAACTTTCAACTTTTTTATGCCAATTCATGGCGAAAGTAGCAGTAAAGAGAATGATTTCTCTGCTGTAAAGAGAGATTTCTCTTTTAGATGAACATAAACGCAAAGAGATCCATCGAGTCGAAAGGAAGTCATGATTTTTTGAAAAACTGGCGAATGTACTGGTCTTACCTAATTTGAATCTGAAAATTTTCCAAAATATTTCAATATTCACCAAGAGCTTGTAAATCACTTTGAGATTTCGGTGACCCATTTTTCTCCCCCCCCCCCACCCTTTGTTTTGATATATTTCTATCTAATCACTTCTGCTTTATTTAGATCCAGTGCATATTTTCTACAAAGTAATAGTTTTAAATTACTTGCATTATTATTTCAAACGAAGCACATAAAGCAAAAAAGTTGGCATACTTGAACAAGGGCGTTGTGCTTACGAAGTCCCTCCATTGAGTCCTTTTCCAGCACTCCAGCAGCTTGGTGATTGTTGTTCACACACCTGCACCGATGCCTGAAAGAATACTTAGAATATGGATGGGTATAGGTTTACTTACGCCAACACTGAAGAAAGAAAGAAAAAAGAGAAAGATTAGAGGAGGAACAGAAGCGAAACAGTTTGGAAGAAAAGAGTGCGCTATGCGCTGTTGATGTTGCGTTCGCTATTTCGCAATCGCGAATGCATGCGCCTTCAAAGTCCTGCGGAAATGCTGGCAGGTCAAAGTGCTGCGGAAACCTTACGAGCCTCACTGCACTTTCGCAGCGCTTTATGCAAAGTGCTGCGGAAGTTCCGGTTTACGATCGCTGTGACGTCAATTTCCTGCGGAAACCTCGCATTTTGGAGCGTGCACTTTCTCAATGGTTAAGAAAGTGCTGCGGAAACGCTGCAAGTTCTGCTTGTCCTGCGGAAGTTCCGGTGAATTGTCTGAGTAGATTTGAGCTGACTCAATAGATGCTTTCTTATTTTCTTTAGTACTGACCATGTCCCAAGAATGTTGATTTATAGTGAAAATGGCACGTTTTTTGACATCAAAAACAGTGGAAAAACGAGTGAAGGATGTATTTTAATGAACTCCAGTCATACATTAAAGCTGGCGGCTAATATATAGTGTCCCTGCCATGCGGACAACATTTGACAAATTGCTGCTCTTGTGGTGCCGGCAATCGCGCTTGCACGTGGACGGATTGCAGGCATAGCTATTTCACGCGCAATTTGGTCTTCCGATCTCGACAACGCAGTCACCTACATTGAAAAAAATTGAACTATACGCCTTAGTTAACCAATTCTTACAAGGGAGCGTAAATGAGCGTGATATACCGTAATGAGCAGAACCTGTTTTCCGCAATCACAGAAATTGAATAATGATGTCAGCAGCGACCTATGCTTATTCGAAACACCTTTGGACTGCACATATAAATAATAGGACAGGATTCGTTTCACAATATTAGATCGTTTCGAAAGTTCGTAGAGTTTTCATTTTCGTTTTCGTCTCTTTGAGCTGTTGATTTGCGGCCGATGATGAGATGCGATGATGCGTACGTCGTTGAGAAGACCTGATCATACCCTTTAAAGTAGACTAATTATTTGTGATAAAAAGCTGATTTGCTTTGACTCTTTAGCTTTCAAAGAAGGATTTCTCAAAAGGCAAAAAAGAAGCATTTTCTTACTAAGAAAGCGTTTTGCGCAGATTTTCTTGCCGATCATGGAAAATGGAGTCTCTTCGTCAATATGAGACAAAAAGTGGTTTTCCAAGAAATACCAAAAGTTTATAAGGTGGCTCCCGAACAAGACTTTTTGCAGGATGGGCAGGAGGTTCTGCACTAAAAATTGCTAGATAAGGACAAGACGGTTGCCCATACCGTACGCAACCCGACTGCACCGTCTAACAAGGGAAGGGTAGTTGGATGCCGCGGCCATTCCTAATGATTTGTGCACCAAAAAATGCGCCTTCGAATGCAGATTCTGAATCTGTGCTCGAAATCTGCGAAACGATCTTTTGAAGAAAGTTATGAGCTTTTTTCCTTGAAAATTTAGCCTACTTTTGGATAGTAAAAATCACCAGATTTGATCTAGCCTACCGTTTGATGCTGCTGGAGAAAATTTTAGACGTAGTAATATTTATTTAGACTATCTGGATCATACTCAGCATTCGGAAAGGAGAGAAAATTTTTTATTGATGATTTTGACCCTCCGCAGGAACGCAATTTTTTTAATGAAAAAAAAAATTATAACTCCATTCAGATTATAGTTTCGCAGATATGAAAGACAGTCTACGAACCAGCATTCAAAAGCGCATTTTTTGGTGTACAAATTATTATGAATGGCTACGGCATCTAAGTATCCTTCCCCTGTAAGCGAATCCTTGCTGCAGAAAAGGAGTATAACGCCACGCCGCCCTCCAAGTCTAGTGAGCTTTTCTGCGCGACAAAACCTAGTCCCCTACGGCAACCGTCGTCGCGGCTGTCCTGCAGGACTTGACCGGGAGATACATTTGTATCCAATATACTCAGAGATCTCGCTCGATCACAATGTCATCTGTCGCAGTCTATTACAAATCTTATGGACGGGGTCTGTTTTGATTTTGAAGACGATCTCAGGCGCCGATTTAGACGAATTTTTGGGGCCGGAGCAACTGAATTCTGGAGAAATGGAACTGCAAATCTGACTGTGTGGTGACAGGAGGTTGTGCGCAACAACGGAACATGCATTATTGACTGGATTTTGCTGAAATTCTGTCATTTTGTTGATCTATAAAAACTCTACGAACTTATGAAACGACTTAATAGTTGATGTGTTTGTGTTGGGTGTTTGAAGAATCACAAAACTGGTAAAATCGCATCCATCCTTATTCGGACCCTTTCTGAAAAAAATTTTTGTTCTGCAATTTCCTCAACGATCGTGCAGCAAGTCATTAGACAAGTCTGTGACAGAACCTCTCCTAATCGGCGAACTGGAACATTTTTTGAACTGATGGTGAATAAAAAGTATTGATTTGCTGACTAACCGCAGCAAAAAGTAGTGTGAGAAAGAGAAAATGCAATTCTCCACGCACTGGTATTTTCTGAGTCAACGAATGCAAAAATACTGCGTTCTTACACGACCCGTGACATCACTTAAAAGATAGTCTCGCCGCTAAATCGAAGACGTGCGGTTGCAAAAGAAATGATTACCGGTTACATAAGTCGAAATGTCAATGAACAGTCACAGACTTACCTCAAAGTTCAGCGTCTAGTGTCATTGCTGGTGAATATTTTTATATCTCTTCTCTGCTAAATTGCTTTGAAGTTGCAACCATAAATTGAGCTTTACGAGCGCAAATGAATCCCGCTTTTTTCGTTCGGTTTTCGCAAGCCAGCACGTATAATCGAATCACTCAGCAGCGTCACATTATCTCTTAGTCTTCGCATCCATTTAACAGAATCATTTGACATTAGCTCGACATGTTCCTATCTGAAGGAGTTTATAGCGTACTTGTTCTGGTCTTGAAACCAGTGGAAAATTTAAATACTTGCCTTTCTTCTCTAGATCTAATACGAAGTTTTCAACAAAGCCATTGCTCATACGGTGTCTCAAGTGGTTATTTGTGGCCGAGATATTCATCATGACTGATTTGCTGTCTCGAAGAGTTTGAGAGCTACCGATAGATTATCGTCTGAACCGGAGTTTAGAGAGAGCTCTCAATTATGAGCGAATGTAAAATGCATCAGGTGTGATAGACGTGTGTTAACATGGGAACCTTGCTTAGTCGAAGTGGCCTTTTTGGATGGGATGTATATCAGATTCCAAACCTGCCTTTGTTGTTTGCTTAACTCACATGGGCGAGAAGTTAGGAGAGTTTATTGAAGTAAAAAGGAATAAGTGAGTCTATGATGAGATGTTCCCTTGTAAGTGCCTCCCAAAAATCATGAGAACTCCATAAGTTCGTTTCAGCGCTTATTCACGTAGTATCCAAATACAGTCGGATAGGTTTGCTTGCTAACAGTTGCTAACAGTTGCTCATACTCAAGAAAAAATTGGAGTCACTGAAGAAAATTTTGATTGATCAGAGTATGTTGTTGATACAAATGTATTTCATACCATGGATCCCGCACATTCACATTTGTTTGAAAGAGTCTTTTAACTCCCGTCATCCGCCCTCACATTTTTTGTTACTTTTGTAAATAAATCGTCGCAACTGATCTGCGCACGACCTTAATGATGTAAAAGTTTCTTGCTCTTATTTTTAATTTAGGTGCCTGTGTGCCTCAAAAGCCCTTGTAACAACTGCTTAGTTTTTGTAATTCATGAACACTCACAGCAAAAGTCAAAGCATTGGATGTGAAACGTAGTTGCCAAGATATGTTGTAAGTTTATTGTCTTTGGTTTGTCAGCTTTACTGCAGTACAATTCATACATTTTCGATGCGTCGTTTTGACAGCTTTATTCGGCATTTCTGCTGCCATCATGGGATTTGATAGTGTAGAGGTAAGATTATATAGTACATACAAAGTGGATTGATTTATGTTCTTGTTGGAAAACACTCAGGCTAGGGTCTGGCACCAGCTGGCACGGGGCAAGCTGGATATCGTTTTTGGGACAAAAAGCAAAAGGGATATCGTTCTTGTGGCCGAAAATTGTGACGTTTTTTATTCGACATTTCCTTTTTCAGGAGTTTTCTTTACTTTTAGGAAGGTCAAAGGGGACTTCCTAAAACTTAGTGAAAGTCAGGGGGGACTTCGTTTTGAAAATTCACTAATGTCAGCTCGTGCGAACCCTGACCCAGGCCCATAGTAAAGTACCCATCGACTCGGGTGAGAAGGGCTTAAGTTGTACTTACAGTATCAATAGTGCCATCGACCTCTCTGCGAACCGCTGTAGACAAAATCACTGTATCCGTTGTTGAAGAAAAATGAATTTGTGCAGAAAACGAATGGTTACAACGCAGTGTTTTAAGAATGCCTCTTCACAGGCTTGTGATTTCGCTAGGGCATTTTCTGATAGCGTCCGCAGCAGAAAAATTGTTAATGACCGCTACGTTTGGCGTGGCAAACGGAATAAAACAAATGCAAAACATTTTACATAATGCCCTTAGAATACACAAATGAAAAGCGATTTGATCTCCCTGCTGAAATCAGTTATTTACTGGTCCTCTCTATCCAGGCTTTCGGAATGTGCAGTTTTGCGAATATTTTTGGCAACTCTTAAATTTGCGGGTTCCGTAATTTACCCTCGAGCAACTTTCGACAATTTTTTTTGGATTCACTTTTTCACACTATCTTCGTCCTTTCGAACTACGACCTACCTTTCACTTAGAGGTAGCGCGTTGAAATGGCCGCTTCATTTGTGCGGTATTCTGATTTGCCTTCTCATGCATGGGGTAGGTGGACGTCAGTTCAGCTTGCGAAGTTCTTCTGATGGAGGAGAGTTCAGCTCAGTTTGATTGAGGTGAAGGAGATGCTACGGGCCTCAGTGTGAAATACTGAAAGGGGTGCCACAAAGAAAAGTTCGCAAGTTTATTTTTCGCTGCGTTTTCAAGACAAAATGAGAAATGAAATCATAGCCATCAAGCATCATCATAACCAAAACCAGTGTCCCATTCCTGAAACCTTAAACAGCAACTTAGATACCCGCCATACGTGATCCTTTTACGTTTAATCCGCATGATCCGCTTGATCCGCTTGATCCGCTCGTACAAACCCGTATCACTACTTGTCATTTGGTGTCGCGTACAGCGAATTTGCGTAACCATACGAAAATCCTTTTTACCTACGTAACGCCACTTGACAACTGCTGTGTGCGCGCGTTTTGCACGAAGCGGATCAAACGGATCAAGTCGATTAAGAGGATCAAGTATGGCGGGTACCTTAGTCTCATAACAAAATCCTCCATCATTAAACAGTACACTTAAAGATTTCAACAACGTGTATGGTACATCAGAGGCCATACTAAATGACATGCTTTCAGAGTTTATCCATGGACACCTTCCGTTGCTTAAAAGACAATGGTCACATGTTCTTTATCGGTAGAATATGGAGAAGCTTGGGAAAATTTGACTGGGACGGTTTGCAGAACATAAGAAATGCTTATGAAGGTCACTGCTTGCATTGAAGCTTGTTTGGAACAACTGTACTGTCATTAGTATGCATCTCATCCTCCTGGTACGCTAGAATAATCTCATTGTTACAGCTGGGCTTTACGTGAGCGTTTACATTTTTCCTTGCCTGGATTTTCCAAAATGTGCGCCTGTGCAAGATCAGGTATGTTTACTTCATTGTTGCTTGCCCGCGGCTGTAACAAATGGTCTAGCACATGATTTGGTTTTATATAGCAAAAGAGTCTTGCAGGTTGAAAAGACAATAAATACTCTGAATGAGGAAGGTGTTAGATATGGAATGGTATTTCTAGACATACAAATGTTTGATTGGCCGAGTGACAAGGAAGAAAACCGTAAGACTATTGATGCCATGGCTCAGAAACTAGATGTAAGTCTTCTTTGAATGCACAGTAACTATATTTACCATAGAAGCTTGAAAGTTTCTTCTTCAGCTACCAAATTTATATTGTATATTAGGCAAACCGTGTAAGGCTAAATCCCAGAAAGTTTATGTTCCAAAATTCTTTCCAACCTGTAGCGAATGTGCAGATGAGGAAAGGTTGTAAATTGATACTTACAAGCAATAGTTACTTGAATTCTAGGAGATGAACGTGGAATGGGGATTCTACACAAGCAAACGTAACTGGAATGCTATTGTTGGAAACTGGGATAAGTGGAAACATAAAAAACTGTGGTGGTCTTACTGGGGTAACAATGACGGACAGCGAGTTAGCCGCTTTTAGTGTAACGTATTACACGGTTATCTAATGAATAGAAATTTTCAGTACGGCGACTTCACACCATTTGGTGGATGGACAGATTTTTACATGCAACAGTACGCTGGCGATGTCAATGGACCATGCTCTGTTTCTCTTAATCTTGACTATTATGCATAATCGGAAAATAAAGGGCTAAAATGTTTTGTGAATACGAATGTAATTACAAAGAACATCAAGTTCGAAAATTATTGTAGTGCATCTGTACCAATAAATTCGCTTGAGAATTTTCCCAAATAATTTTACCCTATCTTTGGGTCGCCTCACCCTTTTGCTCTAAACAAGAACAAACCCATGCAATTCGCAGCACATGTGTGTCGAGTGGTGTAGGGCGCTAGGCGACAAACCCAAATTCTTGGACCCTGAAGAAGTTTCCGTGCAAAAGTCTCTGGGGCGGCAAAAACAGGAGTGGTGGCCGAACATAACCCGACGACATCGAAAAAAATGGCGCATAGTTTGTGCGTTAGGCTTTACGCTGCTTGCGTTTTGCGCATTTTGTCGGCTAAAGCCTGGAGATACCTCCCGCGATTTCAGTCGTCGCGATTTCCAACTCGGACATGTGTTCCAAGTCCGCAGTGCACGCGCGCCCAACTGCTCAGACAATCGCCGGGGGCAGGCGGTCCGCAAACTCGCGCTTTTCTGCAGGCGGTCAGCAGAATTTTGGGGCGTGACCAAACCTTCAGCGAGCGGTACTTCCTTTACTGACTAATGCTTTGCCGTGCAGCAAACACAGAATTTTCTGCAGGTGCTCGTCAAATAATCTCTTTCAGCAAACGCTGACCGAGCTTTCAGCAGGCGCTCGTCAAATAGTCTCTTTCAGCAAACGCTGACCGAACTTTCAGCAGGCGCTCGGACTCTTTTGGGCAGTTTCAGGCGTACGCCGAGTGAAGATGAGACTCTATGTGGCAGAGGTGGCATCGGTGGTTTAATTACCCTATTTTCAGGTGTATAAGCCGCACCCTTTTTGCTCTAAACGTGAGCAGACCCAGGCGTGCCGCCGCGCATATGTCTCGCGAAGCGGTCGCCTTATCACATACTGCTCTCACTTAACGCGCTCCATGATGACAATCAGTCTTTTGGCGTGTTTGCCTATAGAGCGAAAAGGGTGCGGCTTATACACCTGAAAATTGGGTGCTCAAGTTTGGGGTACTTTCTCTCAGCGGAAAGTATCTGAGGACTGCGCGGTCCTCCACAAAGGACCGTGCGGTTCTCATTAATTTTGCATATTCAGGCGGAGATTCCGCCGCAACTAATCTATAAGGAAACCGCGATTGTTCTCCGAGCGTAAGTCTAGAACTTCGTCAAAATTCTTCCAAATACCTGCAAGCGCAAGAAACCGCAAGAAATCAGCGAACTATTTTTCCGGTGCCCGCCTGCCCCCGGTGATTATCTGAGTGTGTGGTCGCACTGCAGTTGAGATGTCAGATTGAAGCTGCGACGAATCGCGGGCCTTTTTTTGGACGGGCATACTCTCAGCAGGGATATGGTTGCGATATCGCCCAAACTCAGCGATGTGGCCGTCGCTAGTTCTGCACTAGCGATTTGCGAATCGCCCGAATGGCTCCTCATTTTGAGAAGTTTTGTATTTTTTGCCAGTGCGAATTCCATTTAGAACTATTCTATCTCACACAAGCGCTTTCTCTCCATATGAGAGAAGGGGTCATCGAACATTTCATACTATAGTCCTTGAAAACAACACATGCGAAGCACATAGTATGGAATGCTTCCCATATGTCACCTCACCCTCTGTGAACACTTACTGTTCTCGCAATGCATTAATCTTCTTTTGTTCTTGTTTATTGAAAACAAATAATGGCGGCCGAATCTTGAATGTTCTCGCTATAATTTCTGAGGCAGAATAGATGTGCAATCTCGGTTACTTAAGCATATGTGTATCATCGTTCGCAGATTGGCAGACAATAGCTCTCACACCACCCGTTGTTAAAATATGCCTACCCAGAGTTTTTTAGAAGGCCGAAAGCATGGCCTTACTGTTGCGAAGCTAACATATGGTTGAAAGTGAAACTCAAAAGTTCATGAATTAGTAGTCGATTTTATTGCAGATGTCAACTTGGCCGATAGAAAAACGTTGGTAAATACTAGGATGAATGTGAATCCATACCCTTCCTCGTTTTATGTAATGTTCAGTGAAAACATATGGCGCCATGTTCCGTTCGAATTTTCACTTAAGACAGATTAGCGCAAATTTTCCAAAAGTACGTATGACGCGGTGTGGTGTGTGAGCGTCTATGAGATCGCTTTGGGTATGTCCGGTAGTCAAGCGATGAGCAATTTTCACGCAATAAACTGTTGCCCAGGCGGTCTAGTTGCAGCGATCGAAAATTGTGACGACAGGATCGCTGGAGTTATTCCTTAGGCCATAGGCTGATGTGGGCTTCACAATATAGCCTCCATCCTTTGACTGTTGCTGTATTACCGTACCCTCATCTTTCCCGCGGAGATTGAAAAACAGTTGAAGGTCAAACCGCACACTTTTGGTATGCTGAATTAAAAATCTCTACAGGATGAAGTTTTTCGTACTTTTAATGCACAACTCAATCAGGAACAATTACAGGTCCTTCTTTTCATCGAGCAACAGCGAAAGTCATTCGTCTCTGCACAGCAAGTCAAACACGTTTTTATAACACCATATCATCAACTTTATCTAGGTCCATGGTTGTCGGTATTGACTGATCCACAAATCTCACCAGGACCACTAGGGCCGAGCAGGCTCAACTGCCAGCTTGCTCCAGCGCGATTTTCAAGCTCACAAGCTGTCGGCTATTAACGTGGTCAGCGATGAAGATACGCTGCAGTCACGGCATAACTCGAGAAAATACGAGTTCGCGCGAGAGGTGACGCCACTATCCACTCCCACCGTTGTCGTGGAAAGTGATGATTCCGAACAGCATCAACCAAATGAACTTGACTCATCTGAGACTACGCCAAAACTTTTCGTAAATTTGTATATGGTTTATTTGATGACTTATGTTGTTTTGTTAATAAAATTGTACATATACGTAACTTGTTAGAGTACTTTGTACTCTAACAAGTTACGTATATGTTTGTTTTCTGACATTCATTAGTGTTACGAGAAGCCTAAGGTAAGCGTTTGTCCAAGTGGGATTTCAAAGTGTCGGGAACGCCCCTTCCTAAACTTCGTGTTTGCTTCATCAACGCCACTTTCACACTTAGGGCCGCAAGCACTAACATCCCGCCGGGATGGGGATCGCAGCTCAAAAGAAAGCTTTATATTCTAAAAACGCCAGGTATGTGGATTCCACGCTGTCCACCTATCCATAAGTATCCCCACCATCTTACACTAAACGCGTTGAATAGGAGCAAGAAGTTGTACACCGCACTTTCTAAGTTTTATATGCTCCCGTGATGATTCCCCGTGACTGACCGTCCTTTCTTCAAGGTCATTTTTCTTTTTTCGAAGTTAAGGAAAACCTTCCAGAGTTGTACTGCTTATTTAACCCAACAGTACTAAGTATGCTGCTGATAGTGAACAAATGGGTTTTTGAAATATCGATATTCACGGCAGAGGTGCGATAGGTGGAGCCGGGCCCCTAAAAGTGAAGGTAGTTCCAGCTACCACTGGCCGGCCAAAAGTGAAGGGGTAACGGGACAGTCACCCCCCCCCCCCCAAAAAAAAAACGTCGACCGGGGGGGGGGGAGGGGGGTAGAGAGGGAGGGGGTAGCATAAGACGGTTTTGGGTTTGGGTTTTTTGGTTTTTTTGGTTTGGGTTATTTCGGACTTTTGGGTTTTGATTTTTTTGCTGAAACTTAAAAAAAAGGAAATTAAGCAAAACGAACGCAAGAAAGTATTGAGAGCATATTCTATGTAGTTTACTTTTAGGAAGTCGCGTCGCCCAGCGCGAGCACCTGGAGGCCATCACCGACATGGACGCATATATGCCTCAGCACTTTCTACGATAGAGCAAAGCTTCATAATGACTTCGGATAACTGAAGAGCTCTAACCCAACGGTCCTCTTCAGGGTCAATAACTGTGACCCAACGGCCCTCTTTATGGCCACAAATACGATGAGTACAACTGCATGAATATTTCAAATGAAGGTGTTATAGTGTTTTTGTGAAGTACTCAGCTAGACTTCATGTGTTTTATCAGGTACATTTCGTTATGACTACTGCGAAGAAAGTAGGTCGATCCAGGCAGTAACCGCCGAGCAGAATTTCGAATGATAAATAAAGAAAAATCGTGCGATGATTCCATTGTTATAGATCTGCTGGTTGAAGACGTCAGCAATTGCGACTTCATGGGTTTTGAAGAGTAATTGTTGTTCTACCAGACAGTAAAACAATCAGTTTAATTTGAGGAGTGGCCGCCGAGAACGAGAGTTCTGAAAAATCTTAAAAATCTTCTCAATTTTAGGTTGCTTAATGACAGCTGACAGTTAAACTCTTAGAAATCCGGACTTTGAAGGTGTGTGATGTTGCGACTTCATAGGTTTTGTAGGTGAGGTTTGTCCTATCAGAATATGTCTTAGCTGTACCGATACATTGAAAGATCGCCGAGATCCAGGCTCTAAAAAAGCAGGTGAAAACCCGTTTTTCAGCTCATAACTTCTTCAGAATTGCATAATTCATGTTGCGACTTCATAGGTTAGATTCTCCTACGGCATGTGCCCCGGGGTGGAGTACTTCTCTTCACTAATTCTCCACTGGCGGCCTCCCGCCAGTACATTGAAATGGGCGGGGTGGAGAATTAGTGAAGAGGAGTACTCCACCTCGGGTTAGAGCCGCAAGAAACATTGAATCCCCCACATATTATACATCATCTGAAAGCTCTTGATGAGGAGAATCCAACCTATGAAGTCGCAACATGAATTATGCAATTCTGAAGAAGTTATGGGCTGAAAAACGGGTTTTCACCTGCTTTTTTAAGAGCCTGGATCTCGGCGATGCTTCAATAGATCGGTACAGCTAAGACATATTCTGATAGTGCAAACCTCACCCTACAAAATCTATGAAGTCGCAACATCACACACCTTCAATATCCGGATTTCTAAGAGTTTAACTGTCAGCTGTCATTAAGCAACCTAAAATTGAGAAGAGTTTTAAGATTTTTCAGAATTCTCGTTCTCGGCGGCCACTCCTCAAATCAAACTGATTGTTTTACTGTCTGGTAGAACAA